AGTACACTGTGACGCCAAAGTCGTTGTCATTACTCACAGAAGTCCAATGATCCCCTGTGAGGATGACGTCCTTTGCTTGCTCAAGCATGCTCATCCTCTGTGCCCTTTCACCTTAATATGAAGTGTGTATTCTTGGCACAGTGGTTCTTTTCCGGGGTAGATTATAAGAGGTGTCTCCTGACGCAGTTTGAATGATTTCTTTAGCTCAGTCATCATCTTCTGTGATAAATGGGTGGCAGTATTTAGCTATCCTTTCAGCCAAAGTATTAGTTACCTTCTCACTTACATGTTTCAGTACTCGCCCATTAATAAAGACTGCTGTATTGTACATTGGCAAAGTCTTGCAGTTTCAGTATTTTGCTTTGAGGTGATGTGTCTTTTTGTCAAGCAGCTTTTTAAAGAGAAACTTACAGCCCAAAACTCTGTCATTGTCCTTCCATCCTCAGCCTGAATAGTTCAGTTTGGTGGCATACATCACATTGGTCAGCCCCAAGAGGAAGTAAATGATATTATGCAGCTAAGTCAACTGTATTGAGTATATATAGTAAGGATGCATGATAACACTGACATGTCATCATTATCTGCCGATATTGACTTTAAAATGAAATATCAGAATCAGCCAACCTGACAACATGACAAACCAATTTTTTTTTTTTTTTTATTGACAAAGTCAATATGTACAAAACATCACGTAAACGATACAGCACAGGTAACTAAACAACATATCTGAAAGATACAAATATGTATAAAGAATATAAATGACAAATATTAAAACAGACAATAGAATAATTTCATGTAACTGTTTCAGAGTTGCCGCGTTATTACCGCCAGAACGACAAAGCAGAAAAGATAACTCTGGCATGCTTCTAAATGACGATGAAAGGGCCGTTAATCAAAGGTAACAAGTCTTAAGTGCTTATGATTCGGTTACTAACTTTTTGGTGCAAAAAGACTGACAATATAGTACAACATGCTGATATCCCTGTGTGAAGTTAATGTACACAATCACCATTAAGTAACCAGACACCCAAATAAGTTTGTAAGTTCAGCGTATTGACAAACTGTTATGAATAAACTGAACAATAATAAATTTGGGCCCAAAAATGTGTTGAGGTTACAGTCTGTGAAAGTCTATTTTATATGTATGTTGGAGGTCAGAGGAGTGAATCCCTTGTTCAGAGTTAAGTATTAGAACACCGCACCGTCCTGACTACAGTAAATCGAGATCCTTCACAGAAAAAAAAAAAGTTTTAAATTCAAAGAGTAGTGCCAAAACAAATATGATGGTCAAGAATGAGTCCCACAGTACTGTGTTGTCCTCTTCTGATGTAGCATTATCCTCTCTTGATCCAGGGACTGATGTAAACTCAACTGCTAAGCTAGCTAATGGCTATCATAACTCTGCATGCTTCTGTGCTTACACTCTGTCCCTGTCGACTCACTATTTAATACTTTTTCTTCCCAACAACCGGTTACTCTCCTCCATATTACTGTCTCTCCAGGGTTGCGAGGTCTGACCCTTTTCTTCTTCTTCACCCCTGTGATAGGCTGACAGCTTAACAAGCAAATTACCGCCCATTCAACTTGAGCTCTTCTAAGTAAACCCTCTTTTACAAAGTTCTTAAACCACCACAAAGTAAAACAACACTCTTAGAAAGCAAAAGGTTTATGGTCTTAAACCAGGGTGTTACATAAGTAGGTAAACATAAATAAAAAAAAAACCACATAAACATGAAAATAAACCTGGGTACAGGCATACAGATCAAGCAGTATATTCAGTCAGAGGATTTGGGGAAGAAAGTTGCATAATTTTCCATAATATATATGGATGTATTGGTTATCTACCAAATGAGTTATTATATATCAGCATATCTGCACAAAATCCAGTATTGTGCAGCCCTAATTGCTACAGTGTGATACTATTAATGTCCACTTTGAATCAACCTATTGTTTTCAGTGGGCGGCTGTGGCTCAGAGAGGTAAGGTGGTCCATTAGTCATAGGGTCAGCACTTCAATCCTAGGCTCCCTGGTCCATGTGTCCAGCAGTCCTTGAGCAAGACACTGAACCCAGAGTTACTCCAAAGCACTTTGCCCACTGAGGTAGAAAATTGCCATGTAAATGCAGTTTATTTACCATGAGTAAAGTGGTTACCAGACAGAGTGTATTTTCAATTAGAGATGTGTGTAATAATGCAGGTGTGTGAGAGTGCTACAAGAACAGGAGCGTTTCATTATTCAGCAAGTACCAGAAGAAACAACTCAAAAGCATTGTATAGCCTCATATTAGGTTGTTTGGTGACACTGCTCGTTACCTTCGCTAAGGAGGTTATGTTTTTGGTCCGATTTGTTTGTTTGTTTGTTTGTCAGAAGTATTACAGAAAAACTGCAGGCCAATGCTGATGAAGATTCTTATTCATCCAGGTCATGGTAATTCTAAATGCTATATTGAAGGCAACTGGACTTGCTTGCAGTTTCTTGAAGACGTTTCACCTCTCATTCAAGAGGCTTCTTTCGTCCTAACTGACTGGTGGGGAGTTGCATGCTTTAAACCCCATGATGGTGTGAACCCTTAAGCCTGATATATGCTTGGGCGCACAACACCTTTGAAGAGTGTTGCTCAACAGAAATAAGGTATTTTCAGCATAAAAAAGTGTTGCTCTAATTCAAGACAATTTTCTTACATTGTCGACATCAGCATATTTTATCACCCAATGTGAATGGTAGTGTTACTATTGTCTCCATAGAGAGATTAGTTTTAAATCGGACCTGCGTCCAGCATCTCTGTCCATAGATGCAGCTGTGCATCAGCGACAGCTCTTGTGGATCTATAAGCTGGCCACACTGCCCTCACCAAGCTGACTGACAGCTGACATTTACTGAACAAAAATATTTTTCATGTCAGCGCCACGGGAGGAAATCAAGAGTATTTTAATTTATTGATTAATTGATTTTCTGTCCCCACCCACTGCAGCAGGTGAGGGGAATCTGTTGCTCACCAACAGACTGGGGCTGATCAATCAATAAATATTAGGTTAATAAGATGAAAACACACGTACAGTGGGATATCTGTGTGACTGACACAGCTGTCTGTGCAGATTAGTCTTTACCAAACGGCAACAGAAGTAGACCTGGACTGTAAACAAAAGCAGGGGCTCTGTGGTTACCACAGAGATGACTGAAACCTTTCGCTGAGGCATGAATTGAAAACATCCAGAGACTGTTTAATTTCTGTCGTGCACCCAAACAGAAATTAGTCTTTATAGAGTCGTTGAGGTCACCTGTGAGTCACTGACCCACCCAGCCATCATGTGGGTCAGTAGGGTTGGCTGCGTCCAGATGTGAATGGGTGTTAAGCTGTTTAGGGAGGGAACTAAAGACTGCATTGTAGTGTGGTGTCGTAGGCCACTTCCTCTGTTTAACGATGGTCACCACAGAGGAAGTGGCATACGACACCACTTATCACCCACCTACAACTCCCTCCCCAAACAGCTTAACACCCATTCACACCTGAACTCATCCAACCCTAACAAACCACATCATGGCCAGGTGGGTCAACAACTCGCATGTGACCCTAACAACACTGGAACTCAGAACTCAGCATGTGACCTCAACGACTTTGCAAGGGTTCACACCCACACAGGGTTTAAAAGCTTGCAACTTCCCACCAGTCAGAACTCAAAGCTCAAGCAAGCCCAGTTGCCTACTATATAGCACTTTGAACCATACAGGCCAGAGTTTCATGAATCTTGGTGGAAGGATATAGGTCAAGGAAGAACCCATTAAATGTTTGAGCAGATTGGAATCATAGCGTGAACACATATTGTTTGTTACTTTAGTCAACATTGTGAAAAAGGGCATTTAGCCTAAGCAGAGGTCTGCGCTCTCTGAGTGCCCTTCTGTAGTGTTACTCATTGATTTGTATCCTCATTAAAACCAATATCTTTACTAAACGTTGTAATATGTTTAGTCTTTCATTCTGCACTTCTTCCCACCAAATGCAGATCACCAAACCAAACTGTTTTTGCTTGTGCTGTCACCAGAGGTGTGCAGTGGCTTCTTTCTTTGCTGTTAATGGCACAAGGGATTTAAAATGAAAGAGGGGACATCCAGCAGGGGTAGCTGTCCGGAAGGTGAATACTTTGATGCTGTTGTTTTGTTCTTGTGGTTGCCACATTCAGCATGCTGTTTTCTGTAACCACACGTACAACATTAATGCCCAATAGATGTCAAAAAAACCCAAATGCAAATCCATCCACTACTCATGTAAATCAATAGAAGTATAATTTCATGTGCAGGGATTTAAGACATTGGTCTAAGCGAGGCCAAAGACTGCCCAGAGCAAATTTTCTCCTGTTCATTTTTGGCCACAGTGTGTGTTTACACAATGGGATGTCTCTCGCTGCGGCTTTTACTGCACTTCAGCTGTGTAACCTTGGCGGCGGCAACATGCACCCCAGACTCAGCTGTGAATCAAGCTATTGGCTCTCCTCAGTTAATACTGTGAAGGAGTGTATCACAAATTCTAATGGGCCTCAAGTGCTATTGAAATGGGTAAATGTGAGGATCTATTCTGCAGGCTTTGGGGCCGAATAGCTAAAAAGGCCATGTTTATTTTCTTCTCAGTGTACTTGTACTATTCTCCAACCGTAGTGCATTGTCTATTGATTTTCTCCAGCCCCCTCTATCAGTCAGGCTTTAATAAGACAACACATGTCGCCTTTAAAAGAAACGTATTAGAATGTTAATGGATCACTCCACAGACCTGTTTGCCTCTCCGCGTACACGATCGCATTTTTGTGTATGTGTGAGCCACCACATTTTCATTAAAGCAGAAGAAGACAACATTCATCTTGATGGTTTTAGGGAGTAGAGGGGGAGGGAAACAAGGAGAATGTAACACTAGAGGGATGAAGGGATAAGGATGGAGAGAGTAGTAGAAAGTGAGGAAGAAACCTCCTTGTGCAAAGTGGATTCATCTTCTGTCTTATTGCTCCTGCAGGGACCAATTTATCTTCATTTAGGTTTTTGGCACCAACCCCAACCCAGACCAGCCGCCTCAAGAAAGCACATGAGCTCAACGTGGCCCATGTGGCCTGCATCTATGGTTTGACCAGTACTGCTTTTAATGGCTGATTATGTTGTTTAAAGCTTCTGTCAGTCTATAAAATGATATCTTTACGTTCAATGACTGAATAACATAGGAAGAAATACTAAGACCTTGTTGGACTGCTTGCCCAAGTCGTTTTTTTGGCATATTCAAATTGTGTTCAGATTTAATTTCTACATAACCCCTAAAGGTGAATTTTTACTTTCCTTTTTGAACAAGATAATTATCTTGTGCAAACAAGTTAATTCTGCTCTACGCCCACGTTTTTATTTTGTGGGAACAAGTTAATTATCTTGTGAAAATAACTTATTTATATTGTGCACTCAAAAGGGGCTCCCTAGATTTTTAGTTTTAGATTTTTATTTTTTTTGGTTTGAAATGCAATTCCAATCCGATTTCTACAGATGCTTCGCAGTCTTGAAGCTCAAATTGGACTGGACTGCAGTACTGACCTTCGCAAAGTGTACCAGTCTGCTACGTTGCTGAGTTCTCTGGTGTGACAGAGGAGCTTGCTCAAGACTTGACAGCATGAGAGTGAAATGATGGACCTCCATTTCTCATGGATCCGCGTGGGAAAGCTACATAGTCACTGACACCAGGTTGTCACCACAGCAACCCTTGCAGATAGGTGGATATGATATCTGTACACACAAATTCGATCTGATCACTTACAAATAAAGATAGGATTTGAGTAACAGATTCGATTTGCCCGCAGTCCGAATGTAGCCTTGGTGTTGTCTTCAAAACTGTATTTGTAAACAGGTGAACAAAGCCTCATTAATTCTGTTATGGGACACATAATCCCTCACAACCTGCTTAAATGATATTAGCTGGCAGCCTCGGTCCTGTGTGTAATGTGGGTTATTACTTTTCATTAACACACAACAACTTCATAGATACTTGGAAGCCTTTTTTGTTGGTTTTATTAATGCAGTTATAATAATAAGCATATGATAATGTATTATGGTATGAATGGCTGTCTGTCTCTATGTGTCAGCCCTGTGATAGTCTGGTGACCTGTCCAGGGTGTACCCCGCCTCTCACCCAGTGTCACCTGGGATAGGCTCCAGCCCCCCCATGACCCCTAACAGGATAAGCAGTTATGGAAAAGAAATAAATGAATAAGAACATTCACCAGTAATACTTCAAAACTGTCATTTCTAAAACAATATTTGGGCGCTCAGATTGTGACCCAGGATTTAAGACCCTCTTGGTTTACTTTACACCGTCTCTTTAACTTTTTTCTACATAACAGTTGCCTATCTCACGCTCGTTTTAGTTCTGTGTCAATATTTATGCGAATTTGGGGACTCACAGCCGCCCAAAAATTAGAAAATGAATCTAAAAAATATTTAATTATCAGTGACCAAAAATAAACAAAAGAGGGTGGCATGAACATTCAGTCTTTTCCTGGTTCGAACCCAGGGTAGGGAAGACCTTCTGTGCAGAGTTTGCAAGTTAATTGGTGACTCTAAAATGGCCGTAGCCATAGGTGTGAATGTGAGCGTGAATAGTTGTTTGTCTCTATGTGTCAGCCCTGTGACAGTCTGGCTACCTGTCCAGGGTGTACCCTGCCTTTTGCCCAATGTCAGCTGGGATAGGCTCCAGCCCCCCCGTGACCCCCAACGGGACAGGCGGTTACGGAAAATGAATGAATGAACATTTAAAGATTGTTTAACAATATCAAAATTACTTTTTGTATTTTTAAAAATTCCTCCCACTGGATGAATTCTTCATTCTCTCATGTCTCGTGCTTATAAATTAATGTGTCACTTCCATTCAAGATTTGTAATGTGTGTTTAATTGTTGATCAAATACACAGAAAACTCATGAAAAGATAAAGATATGCAAGTAGCATTAAATAGTACTTGCTTTTAACCCCTATTTTTATCTGATTTAAGCCACAAGCTGTCACATTTTTTGTATCTTAACTATCAGATATCTCAGTGTTTTCACTTCAGTTTGATGCTGCATGTTCCATAATACATTTTGTAGGTGTTTACCTCCTTTAGGAGTTTGAGGCTGCTGCCCTCTCTGTGTCTTTATTGAGCTTTAGCTCAGACCACAACACCCTCTCCATTCAGCAGGGTATAAATTAACATTGATTTTAGATACGGTCTTACTGTAGCATCATGGCCTTGGTGGCCAAATAACTAACAATAACCTTCACAGTATGAGTGGGTGGAGAGGCGGCGAGGGCAACAAATAAAGACAGAGGAAGAGAGAGGAGGAGAGCTGCATTATTCTGCTCTTCATTACATATAATTGCTGATTAAAGCAAAATCTTTTGTCGCCTCGTTTTCTATTTGCAGATTTCCGGCCCAGATGTTTTGTCGAAATAACACAAGAAACATTTATTATCTCTGGCACTTTCGCTGTTTAACCTGTTGATTTAACCCTGTAGTGAAGATGCCATGTTGAGTAATACTCAGCAATTACATTACATTGTACCAAGAATTCTCCCTCTCCTTCTCCCTCTCCTCCCCTCCTCTCCCTGTCTACCATATGTAACTTCCAAAATCACATGCTGCATGATGCTGGCTCACCGTATGGAGCCAAACAGTCAGATGCTTGTTAATTGTTTTGCTGCTAGAAAAGAAACGAAAGGGGTGGTGGAGTGGAGAGAGGAGGCTTGAGAGGGGGAGGGAGACGGATGTCAGAAATCAGAGGGACCCCTGCTGCCATGTCTGGATGCAGCACTGGCTGCGCAGTGAGAAGAGAAGGAGAGAGACAGGCAGAGTTGTGTCTGTTTGGCTGTGTTGCGCTGTGCAGTCTGGTCTAGGTGCCCTACTGACAGCCCAAAGATTGATGGATAGACCTGTGTATCGCACACAACATCAATTCTGTGCTGCTTTCTCTTTCATTCTGAGTCTCACTCCCTCATCACTCCTCCCTTCCCCTCTCTTCTCCTGCTCTCCCCCTCCCTCCCCCTCCCTCCCTCTCTCCCTCCCTCCCTCCCCGCCGCTGCTCCAGGTCCCTCGCCGGTCCCTCTCTTCTGTATTAGTTTCCAAAAGGCATCTTTAATGCTGCCAGAGAACGCGCTGTGAGGCAGCAAGAAAGCGAGGCGAGCGGATTGCTATCTTTGTGACAGCTTTTCCGCTTGGCAGGCTGCGTGTGAGCCGGGGAACTGGACTGGACTGTGGTGTTTCGTGGAGGAGGTGGGAGAGGAGGTGGGAGAGGGAGAACTGAGGGGCAAGCTGGACAGATGGAGGACGGCACCCAACAACTGGGACACTGCATGGTTGACATGAAGGAGCTGAGTGCCAACCCTGAAGGACTGACCGCTGCCGGTGAGCTCACTGCACTGTGTTGTCTGTCCGTCTGTCCCTTAATCTGTCTCCTCTAGCTCTCTCCTGTGTCCTTCCTCACACAGTAAAACTCTGAAACATCTTGTTTTCTATTAAATTGATTCTGTCTCCTGCATAGTATCCCACTGTTTTTATAAATACATGTCCCAATGATGTCTAGTTTTTGCATATTTTCCCTCTGTTTGTGTTTGCAGTGGTTCTGTCTCTCTAAGACACACGCAGAGAGAGAAGGAGTGTGTGTGTTGGGGAGAGAGAAAGAGAGGGTGGAGGTACCAGTAAGAGTGAGAAAGGGAAACAGTATTAAATGTACACTGATCAATAATCACTGAATGAGTGAATTCGGTGGGGTGCTTTGGGGTCATGTTGTTGCAGTTATTACAAAAGAACATTAATTATACATTCCATTAGCATAAAGTGTTCACAGGTGAGTCCTGAAAATTACTAAATTAATTATTTAATTTTTAAATTCGAAATGAGTACACTGTGTCTCACCAGCCAGTTGATTCTGGAGTGCTAATGATTATTTGGAGTGATGTCATGTTTATAAGTTAATGGTCAAGTGTCTCTTCAAATTATTCCAGAGAATTTATTCTAAAACTTAGTGGCTGCCTTTTCGACAGGTTTCCGATGAGTGTTAGGCTCTTGCAGCGTGGTTGAATTAAAATCGCAAATTGTCTCACAATGTGGTCAGTTCTGTCAGAGGAGCCTGCCTTACCTAATTTTGGGCAACACTGAATTTAATTTAGTGGCTCTGCAGAGTTTGAAGTTTGAAAAACACGGACGTCGCAACAAATTCTCACATCTGTTTGAGTGCCTGTGTGTGCATCCATGTTTCTGTCTGTGTGTGTGCTTTGCTTTTTTTTTTTACTGCAGTCATATTCCATACAGCCTGAATGTGTTGTCACTAATGAGCACTGGCAGAGGCAAACTAGATGTCTCAGTGCCCATCACAACAGGAGAATGCTAAAGAGATTAGCCATATCAGTGATGCCACAAAGCCTGCTCTCCAAGTTTAATACCTTTGCTCACCAAAAAGGACAGACACTGCATGAAGCGCTGCTAAGCATTTGCATTGGCATGCAAGCTCAACACCATCATCTTCCCCATGGGGATAAGTAAATGGAGGCGTACAAAGAGGAATGAAAGCGCAATTCATGATGCCTTGTCTCCTTTGCCTCGAACCACACAGATACACGCTGAACCAGCTTAAATGCACAATTACACACATGCTTACATGCAAACACACACACACACAAGGGAATATCTAAACACGCATACACCAGCACATCCTCGCATGCACAGATGTAAGCATGCATGCACAGTCACACATGTGCTCATGCTTTTACAGTTATGACCTAATTGCGAACCCTAGATATGCGCTGCTATAAAATCACACAGTCACAGTTTGGCGATGACATCTGACAGGTGTGGGAGTGCTACAGTAATGACAAACACCTCACTGTACCTCTGTTGTGTTTTCCCCAGCATCCTGGGAGACAAAAGGGAAGAGCAAAGCACATAATTACCATGTTTGGCACGAAAGACAAGTTGACAACCCCGCATTATCAGTCGCAAGGTGAAATAGTTTATCTCCTCCTTCTTGACAGGAGAGAACAGTGGGTGCTGCTCAGTACTTATTAAGGTGGGACTGAGTTGGCATTTTACAAACTCCTCACCATAAGGGGTAAAATTATGTGATTTTATCTATTAAGTATTCA